GTGAGGCGGCGGCGCGGGCACCCCCGCCCTAACACCGTTGCTAACATCCCGGTCTCCCTCCCGTGGAGTGGGGAGGCGGGGATCCCCGTCGTCCGCGGCGCGTCTGCACGCCGAGCTGGTCCTCCTGCTCGCGCTGCGCGGATCCTCTCTCATTTGAATAATGTCTAATTCGGGGAGGTTTATATTATTGAAATGGCCGCCTGGCTTTCCCCGCCTCTCATGTTTAGTAATTCAGACCTTTAATAACAGCCACTCACAGCCCAACGCCGTGTTTATATTTTACATTCGCCCCATGTGCTTTTGTGGTTCGATATGATTCTTTTTTTTTTTTTCCTTGGCAATCCACAGGGCTCTGAGATCAAACCCAGGCTGTGCCGGGAAGAGAAGGGGGAGCGAGGCCTGGCTCCTCCTGCAGTTGCCTAGGCCTCATGTTCTCTGCCGCCTGATTTATTTACTAATAACCAAAATGACTCCCCTCACCCAGTCCTTACGCACCCCCTCCTCCGCGGGCACAGCTGACCCTCCGAGGCCTCACCAGCCTTCCCACAGCCCCGAGCTGAGCATTAACTCTGCCTTGTTCTTTCTCTTAAGAAGACTTTCCTACAGTGTGCAGTAATATTGGGCCTAAGGGGGGCGGGGGAGGGGGGGACTGTCCTATTTTCAGAGGCTAAATGAAGCCTTTTAGGGTTTCACTTTGTTTTGGTGGAGCCCCTTGCCCTCTGGCTCCAACCCCCAAATTAAACACTTAAAGGTGGATCTGCAGGATTTTTGAAACCAATCTTTTTTTTTTTTTTTCCAGTTGGGGAATAGCTAAGTATTTTATAAATCCTAATTTACAGCACTTTCAGAACTTCTCAGGGCTGCGCTCCCTTTTCAACCTCTTTATTGGAATTTAAAATGGGGCTGATACTAATTTTGTGCTGTCACTGTCACAGATTTGCTTATTTTCATTGGAGCACTCCCGAAAACAGAAATGGGGTTCTGTTTTCTTTGAGTGTTTGTGTCATGATTAAATGAGTAAAATGGAGGAATAAACACTGTCATTGTGTCCACCCTCATCTCTGAACTTACCACCCTCCCAGCACACCCGCCCCCCTCTTCTTAAAATTGTCAGAATTGATTTTGTTCTATGTAGGTTTGGGACAGTTGGTCGGCGAAAGGCAGATTAATTTCAACTATGTAGAAGAAACAGTAATTTTGAATTTTCGTCTTTGCCTTGATGAAGTTTTTCCTCCATTTTATTTTGTATAGTCATAGTGTGTTTTTAAAATCATGTTGTTGCTTCTCATGGGGTTTTTTCCCAGGCTGGGAGAGGAAAGTATCAGAATTGTTGTTAAACACTGATGTGTTAAACCTCTGAAATTATGTTAAGGCCTTTTAGGGTCAGTTGCTAGATACAGATTTGGTGAGACTTTGATTTTCAGTTTAATTTGTAACAAATATCTAGATTTAATGGGCTAAAGCCATTTTAAAATAACCAGTTCTTACCATTTTTCTTCTTTAACCTCCAGTAGGCAGGCCCCAAAATGCAGCAGGGGAAAAAAAATCTGTGGCTTCCACCAGACTGTTCAGGTGAATGACTGTTTCAGAGATCTGAAGCTTGAGGTCAGGTGGACAAAAAGCAGGAATATGATTTCCTGCCTTAAGTAGCATATGTTTTTGCACCAGATTCCCAAGATGTGGTCAAACTGATGATGTCACTGGACAGAGGACAAGGTGCAGTTAATTTGATTTATTGTCCTGAGGTGAAGTGTAGCAGCGAAACCTTCTCATAGGGAAACCATTTATCTCGGGACAATTTCCTTTATAGCTGCAATTTAACCACCACCGAGGCTGTAGGTATTTTATCCAAGAGGAGAAAATGGACATTGCATTTTACAAACAAAATTTCACTGGTACAATTTCTGTAATACAGAAAAGGATGAATATTATGAACTGGCCTTTTATATTCTGGTTGGCTTTCCATGCTATTGTAAAAATTCATTTCCTCAAATTCTCAAATGGAGACTATAGGCTTTAAATAAGTGTCATCTTGGAAGTGATCCAGGTGCATGCTCATTTTAGATGGCTTCTTCCTGACCCCCCACACTCTCGGAAGCTGTTTCTTGACTTAATCAGAGCACAGCCCAGGCTAAAGGAGAGACCATGTGTGTTCCTTGTATCTATTTCCACAAATAAAGTGAAGTTAAAGAGAATGAGGGCTAGCTGTTCTTTTAGGTTGAGATTATAGTGTTTAAAATAAAGTAGAATACTTAACAGGAAAGCATGTGCTTTGCAAGCAGTTTTTAAAAATATAATTCATAATTCTTTTTGGGTTTGTTTTAGTCTGGACAAGTTTGTGCATTTTATTTTGATTGATTAGTGATTTTTAAAATTGAGGTAGTGATTTCACTTATAATTTTTGACATCTGAGTAGATTTTCCTGTTAGACATTTTTTATCCAACTAGTTTATCTTAGTGAGGATTAAAATGCCCTGGGAATGTGGTAGTATTGCTTTATTCCTAACTCTGACTTGTGAGCCAAGCTTGTTGGATGGAGTATTTTATGTTACTTTTGAGCCTCCAGAAGTTGTACGGTGCCTGTCTGCTTTTGCATCTGTCAGGTGGCTTCCACAAGTTTTCAGAAAACCCATTGTCACTTCCTTCTTACCTTGCCCCACTGGGGCTTTTGAATTTAGGTCCTGAAAATTCATATCACTGCTGACCAAATGCTTTTAATTTTTAAAAGGACCAGTCTGGCTGTAACTGGTTTGGCTCAGTAGATAGAGCGTCAGCCTGCGGACTGAAAGGTCCCAGGTTCGATTCTGGTCTAGGGCATGTACCTTGGTTGTGGGCACATCCCCAGTCGGAGGTGTGCAGGAGGCAGCTGATAGATGTTTCTAACTCTCTCTCTCTCTCCCTTCTCTGTAAAAAAATCAATAAAATATATATATTTTTAAAAATGAAAAAAAAAGAAAGGACCAGTCTGCTTGTAAGCGATTTTGTACAAGTAATTTTTAACCTCTTTCCCAAACTGATTTCTAATTTCTTTCATTTTGTCATCAAAAATCCCAGTAGTCAGGGGAAATACAAACAACTACTGCTATTCAGGTTTAAATGGTGTGGTATTGTGCTGTATTTTTAATTTACCTATTTCTGAACGGATAGGCGGTATAAAGCAGCAGAAATGAAATGTCTCACTGCTGTCTGGGTTGAAGTCATTGTTAAGCTGTTATCCACCTGGTCAGTGGATTCTGAAATAAGTTAAATTAAATTGCTCTTATCAAGCCACCAAATGTGTTTAAAGGAGCCTTTAATATCTTAAGCAGATGATTCTATAATCCCAGAACTGAACATTTAAATGCTATCTTTCATAAGTGTTTTCCATTCAAAATGAAATATTTAAAGTTTCTTAAATCTGTATTACTGGATCTTGAATTTAGTTGTGTTTTTTCAGTTGGTCACTCATCTTCATGAATATCTATTTCCTTTGTTGCAGAAAGACTCTAGTATTATGTAGTGATGACTGCCTTGTTACCAGTTATTTTTGTTTTGTATTTAATATTGAAAACCCACAGCCCCAGTCTTTACATACTAACCTTCTTTTGGCCACTGTTAAAATTAATTTTCTTTTAAAACTCTGGTGTGTGACTGTCATTAATTTGCTTTTATGCAACAGTATTGGTTCAGTTACACAGTTTTTGTAATTCATAAAGACTGTGAAACCTCAATTTGAGCAGGGATGTGTTTTCCTAATGGAAGTGATTGCATTTAGAACTATTCAAATAATTACTGTTTACAGAACAGAACAAGTCACAGACAAAACATGCCCCTTTTCGGTCACCCCTGTTCTTGTTGCTCTTGCCTCCTTTAATGTTAAATGCCTGAGCAAACATGCTTATTATGTATTTCTCTGGGGAAATCTAATATTGGGTGGTAGGTAGCGTGTGGATCGGCTAGTTCCACATCTGCCTTCCCCGGGTTTCTGCATCCCTCCTGGATGGAGTCTTTCTTCCTCTTCCTTTTAAGGACATTCTTTGGGCCAGAATTCTCCCTTATTATCTTTTTGTGTTGCTTAAATAAGATAAATATCTTTCAGAGTGGAATCAAGGTTGAACGAGGTAATAATTATGGTTCACAGAATAGCAGTTTCCTTCTCTATCTTCTTTTACTGGATGTTTTTGCACATTATTGACATTTTGTGAATAAGGATAATTGGGTAATTTTGTAGATTTATATTTCTTCTTAGGAACAAATCGGTTTTGTGTTGTACTGACATCTTTCTGACCGTGTCTAAGCTGGCAGTGAGCCCTTATAAACTCTTTCAGCAGTAATAGCATTGGGACCAAAAATAGCACGAGCGGAGCCAGGGCCTGACTTACTGGTCCATTTACGGGATATTTCAAGTTGGAAATGAGAATTGTCTTGAGCTTCAGAACCTCTGATGGAAGAAGCTCTTTATGTACCATGTGTGTAGTTTATAGAGCTGTGTGTTTTAACTACAGGAAGTTAACTTATTGAGTATTGATATGGTATCTTGTTTGTACTCAGTGACTGATATCGCTTCTTTGTTTTTTCTTTTTAATTTATTTTTTCCAGTTAAACACTCAGGTTTTCACTGTTGCCTAGATTCTGCTGACAGGACTAGTAAAGAGCAAAAGAAGAATCAGCAACCTCTCGATGTATCAGATTATTTTTTAAGTACCGTCCAGGACCCTGGGTATTCATCCGGAAAAGGAGCCATATTATTAATTTTTTCAAAAAGACAATGTGAAAAGCACAAATCTAAGCTCAATATGAGTATTGGTTGTAGTAGCTTTATGCAGCCTGCAATATTAAGTACAGTTTGTCACGTGATTTATTTCCTCATCCGCTGCGTCACTTTATCGGTTTTTATGTTGGAACTATAGCAATAATGTATATGTAAAATTAGTAAAATAATAAAAATTATGGTTGGTCTTATTTTTATTTTGCTGGTGGGCATTCACTTTGCAATCAAAGATAATAAACATTATGTTGTGTATGTTAACTCAGTTGTGTTTGGCAGGTGGTCACCTTAAGTAATGGGGTTATACTGACTGGCTTTATAGCCTACTAAGTGAATATACTTTTTAGAGAAAAGTGACTTTGATGTTTTCTTGTCTTCGTCACTTATTTTAATGGTCTGTTTAATGGGGGAGGGGGAAAGCCCCCCTTTTTTGCTGATTCATACTATAGTAAGCAAGTATATTATAATCTTTTAAAAAATAGTTACTTAAACAGTTCTTTGCTTACGCAAAGTGTTATATACCTGCTCTTGTGCTGGTTATCTTTGGGGACAGCAAGGGACTATAAGGCTCTGCTGTGGGACGGTTGATATGTTTACTTAGGGAAGATTGAAAGACAGTGTTTGTAATTACATATTAAAATATGTAACAGATAAGAAGGATCAGAGTAGAGATCAGGGTGTGTCTGCGTTTGTAGGAGCCCACCCATCCTAGAACCCTATAGCTGGAAGGTAATGTAGATGCACTGGTCGTAAGCCATGACTACTAGTAGATGCTGAGAGGGTCTCACAGTGGGTCAGTGGCTTGCCCACAGTCTCTGAACAGATGAGTAACGGATCAGAACACAAGACTTCTGACTATCCAGTCTCCTCCTCTCCAGTCTCCCTCCACCACGTTGCTGCTAGTCAGACTTTCAGTAGGAGGTGAGATTTTTAAGCTGAGCTCAAAAGGGCAAAAACATTAGAGGAGGGAGAAGACGGGAGGTCGTGGTCTAGATTGTGCTGTGAAGGTGAAGAAGGAGGTATTTGTTCCGTGCACAGAGAGGCTGGGGAGGTTTTTAAAGTAAGGAATCTTGTGGTAAAAGTGATGTTTTAGGTTTGATATGGTAGTGTGCAAGAGAGTTGGAAATAGGAAGGGAGAGATTGGACCCATGGAAACCAGTATATAAAAATTGAGTTGTGTTGGCTGACTGGTGTAGCTCAGTGGTTGAGCATCCACCTATGAACCAGGAGGTCACAGTTCCTGGTCAGAGCACATTCCTGGGTTGCAGGGTCGATCCCCAGTGTGGGGTGTGCAGGAGACAGCTGGTCACTGATTCTCTCTCATCATTGATGTTTCTATCTCTCCTTCTCCCTTCCTCTCTAAAATCAATAAAAAATTTCAAAAAAATTGAGGTGTGTTGTTTGTAGACTAATTGCTTTAAGTGCTGTTAGAGATACAAACATAATAAGACAATTACCTGACCTCAAGAGGCTTTCGATCTGATATGATGTAATGAAATAGATCATCCAGGATGAAGACGATGAGCATGCTGTCCATTTACATCGCAGAATAAGAACCTGTAGGAGAAATTTTTGCCTGGTCTTATAGTAGGAACTAGTTTATTTCTGACTACTGGTTTTGTTTTCAGTTTTTTGGACACTGTATGCTTGACTTAGTTTTCTTTCCAAGTCAAACTACAGTGTTCAGGCCAAATCATTAACCTGAAAGATTACATAGGCAATTGTGGTATGCATTTTTCTTAGCGGCATTCCGCATCACATTTTGTTTAGTATTTCTTTTATTGCTTCCACTTTAAACTCTTGTTATTTGTGTTTTATGTGAGCTACTTTCTATCCTTTCTGGAGCAAGGCAGGTATAAAATTATAACTGTGACATAATGATAATGTCGGTGTTTTTATAGTACCTTAAAATTTATAGCAGCACTCTCATTTTTATTACTTAAGTTAGTCCTTTCAGGCAAGTATTATTATACCCATTTTATAGTTGAGTAAAATAAAGCCCAGATTAAGTGACTTTCCCAAGGTCACATGCTTAGTAAGCACTGAGTGTGCTTGGGGAATAGCCAACACTTGCAGGTTAGTGATAACCTGGGCTGTGTTCTGGAGACTGGGGGAAACCAGGCTGTGACTGTTAGCAGGGCTCCCATGCTGTGGTGCTGGTGAAGGAGTTTGGATTTCATTTGCTAGGCAGTAGAGAGTCATTGAATTTTTTTGTTCTTGAGCTATGATCAAAGCCCTTAATTTAAGTGTTTAGCAGCTAATTAGAGTCAAAGGGGAAACAAGGTTTGAGTTTAGATGAACAGAAGTAGGGAAGTGGAAGATGGAGGCATTTGGGGAATAGGCAGTGAACTCAGTGATAGACATGTCATTTCAGACATGATTGGGTGGGTCCTATTAGATTATACATTCACTGTGTGATCAACATAGAAATGTGAGGATTGAGGTTTGTGCTCAAGCCACTGTGTGTGGACTGAGCATTGAGTCTGAACACTAAATTCTAGACATCTCAGTTGGCCTTGGCACTGACTTCTGTGGTTGTCTCTTTCAGCAGTGTGATGGTGATAATACCAGTGTCAGAGGATGCTGTGGGAGTAACAGACGCAGAGCAAAAGCATTTTACAGTCCTGTTGTAGTTTTTCTTACATGGGCACAAGAGTTAGATGTGCTGCTGGAGAGGAGGAGCTTTGGCTCTCCAGTGATTCGGGGCATCTGACGGCAGGGTGTCCATTTCCAGGTGTGGCCAACACCTTGGGAGAGGGAGCAACTCCCCTATGGTCCTCTGAAATTCTACAGAGGAGCTGCTGCATTGTGGCAAACATAAACTGGCCCTGGATCTCAGGCTCTTCTGCTGAATGCCCCACTCCCACGTCTGCCTCTGCATTCTTACCTTTTACTACTTCCTTGAAGAGCATGATCGAACAATTCCACCAGGAAGTCCCCTTACAGGCCCATCACAAACATGGCGTTTCTTTGGTCAGGTTTTAATTTTTAAAAAATCTCCCTAAAATTGTGTTCAAGACCTGTCTTGGGAGGGTGGCTGTGTTTTATTCTGCTGCTTGCTCAGGCTCCTCTCACTTCTCCTCCCCCTCCACAGTCCCATCCAGGTTTGAGACACAGGACCTGAAACAGACCATGGGTTCTGGTCAGGCTGGTGTTTTGGGTGCTCTGAGAAGCTCACATGGTCCCTCTCTTGGGATGTCGTGGTGGGTGCGGTGTGTGTGCCGAGGGCTTGGGAGCTGAGGACCTGGGTTCTAGACCAGCGGTTGCCAACCGGTGGTTCACGGACCACTGGTGGTCTGTGAGGTCCGAAAGGTTGGTGACCGCTGTTCTAGACCATTGGTTAGTTTTGTGACTTTGGGATAAGTTACTTCACCACTGATTTTTTTCTTTTGCATTTGTAAATAAGAGAGTTTTCAAACTCTTAAAAGCCATCAGAATTCTTTTTTAAATGAATTTGAGGCTGAAGCTTCCTGCATGAAAGGTAAGCATGCAGCTATTGCTATTGAAGTGGGTGCAGGGCCAGGGTGGGAAAGTGCACTCCGCTCCTTTGTTCCTGGATCCTTAGGACTCTACGCTGCACTACGTGAAAACTTAGCCCGTTTATCATTCGGGACCTATCTGTCCATTATTCTTGCTCCACAAATAGCTCATCCACGCCTGTGCTCTTGTGCTACTTTCTCTGAATTTAGCAAATTCAGCACTTCATTATACTCAGTCTTATTTTTTCTCTAATTTAGTTTATATAAGTAATTCTTGTCTCAGAAACACTTTGCTGGGGACAGAGTAGATATTTAGCAAACGATACTGATTGATTAAACTATGGGTTCTTGACCTTTGCTGGGATAAGAATCACCCATGGCACTTTTTTAAAAAATTGATTTTTGGAGAGAGGAATGGAGGTAGGAAGGGAGAGAAAGAGGTCAATTTGTCCCACTTATTTATGCATTTATTGGTAGATTCTTATATGTGCCATGACTGGGGATCAAACCCCAAACCTTGGCATATCGGGACAACTCTAACCAACTGAGCTACCCAGCCAGGGCACCCATTCAACTTTTTCAACATGCAAAGGACCAGGCCTTCCCTCTTGAGTTTCTTCTACAGTAGAGGACACCCATAGTTTAAAAAGCTTTGCAAGTTGTTCGGTAGCATTGAATGAGCACTTGTTGCATTTTAAGATTATTGCTTAGACTCTCTTGAATGGTTCTCAGTGCACAAAAATGGCTCTATAGTGGAAGGAAACAGAACCGGAACCTTGGCTCCTTATTGCGTTTATAACTCTGTCTAGCTTTCTGTGCTGAACAAAATCATTTCACTTTTCTGCCCAGAGGTTCTCATCGGTAAGTTGGGGATTATTTTCATCCTTTTTCCTTTTAAGCTGTGGAATTCTTCAAAAACATCTCTTGGGTGAAGACCAGTAAACAGCAGATCCCTTGAATAGGTTGGCTTTCATCTGATACCGTTTTAACAGACATATTAAGAATATAAAGCACAATGGGCTTGATCCTATCTTAGCAACAGAGCTGACTCTCTGGAAAGGTGGTATTTAGATTTTAAACTGGAAACATCTTATTAGAATTTGAATGAACAAGGACAGTAAGCTTATCAGAAACTAGTTGTTCTCAATGGGAACATGAACTGGATTGCAGTTAACCATGAAGAATGGTCCTTCCGAATTCACAGGAGGGTTTGGGAAGGGCTCCAGAGGAAGTGGTGTGTACAGAGATGTGAAGGATGCTGCAAGTCAGTTGCCCATGCTAGGAGTAGGTAGTGGGGCTGAAAGTTCTTGGCAAGGTACGATACATACATAATTCTGGAAACTAGTGAAAAGAGCACTTTCAAGGAACTGAAGCTTGGCTTGCTGGTCCTGGAAGAGCCGGATTCAGCTGAAGAGTTGAAGATGATTTTCAAGACCTTGTCCTCAGTGGCCAGATACACAGGTAAATTTTGGAGGAGATTCCACACCTTGCCACCAATGTATTTCTAATGCGAATAAATAGCATTTACTAAGTCTTTGTCGAGTTAATGTTCTAAACGCGTTACAGCATTTTCATGCTAATCCTCACAGTGACCTCATGAGGTGTGTACAGTTGTCACCCTCACCTTTCAGGTGAGAACACTGCCCTGTAAAGAGGCTGAGTGCAGACCCAAGTCTCCTACCTGTTTTGGTCATGGAACCACTAACTGCTACTTG